TTATTATAGATCTACACCTCTAATGATATCAGCTAATGTAATTGCTGAAAAAAATTATTACTTAGCACGAATTTAAAATTATTCTGGCAATCAATGATAGGCCTTATCGTCATCAAAGCCGCTATATATTATAGGGACTCATTTCTAAAGACTTGACGGTTGAGAAAGTATAGATCTACACCTCCAAAATTCTCTAATAATATCAGCTTAAGAAATTGCTGTGATGTTCATAGTTCTCAGGTAAGAATTCCTGCAATAAAAGAAGTAACAAAATAAAGCTGATATTTTTAGAGCCTTTTAGAGGTGTATATAGTCTAGATGTATAATACATTCTCAAATATTAAGAAATGAGTCCCTATATAGTGGCTACGATGACGATAAGGCTTACATGATTGCTATAGAGTAACTTTAACTTCCTGCTAATTTATAATTTTACACAGCAATTACATTAGCTGATATCATTAGGGGTGTAGATCTATAATGAATTTGCTATGCATATACATGCTAGAGCACAAATGAAACATTTGCAAGCCTATGCCTATGCACGCCCATCATGCGCTGTGTGTGTGCAACTAGAGCTTCACATCACCGTTTCGAATTTCGCATCCGTAAAATCTTTAGCACGCGTATAGCTTGTCATTGACAAGATGAGCTCTGATTGGCTGTATGCAAATGAGTTCATACTGGGGTCCGGAGCTCAAGTGGGAAAAATTACACACCCCGGCAGGTATATTACATTCGCCCTACAAACTAATCGGTTCGCAAACAGAATAGAGTAGTTTGTTGACATTTTTGAAAGAGAGATCCAAATGAAAGGGGAAAGTCGGCCATCAAGATTGATAGGTAGTATACAACATCGAACCAGACTGATAAAATGTCAGCTAAGAAGAAAATGTTAGTAAGCAAACTACACCAGTCGCTATTGGCCAATTATTATGAGAAGACCTCCATAGGTAGACGTTTTTTCTTCTAGGGTTTAGATAATTCGACATATTCATACTCACTAAAACTGAATGGTTAAATAAAAAATTATAAAAGCAGCTACAACAGCATATAGATTATAAGATGAGAAATGTCCATTTTAAACTTATTCATAGAAAAATTGCGGCATTATAATTGCATCTTCATAGATTGCATCTTTATTTGTAAATATATAAATTGCATCTCATTTATAAGATAGGTATAGGACTAAGAACTTCTTCAATGTGTATTTTTGTGAAAATCATGAACAGAAGTTAGTTTATTTATTTCTTAATTGTGAAAAAGTAAGATCACTTTGGAATATTATATTCTTATGATTAAAAGAAAAAATATACGAAATGTTTTGCTCACAGATGAGAAATATTTTTTTAGTACTCTTATAACCAATCATTTCTGTTTCGCCAATACAGTTATTCTTTTTGCAAAGTATTTTATATTTACTTGTAAAATGCAAAACGTTATTCTACTATTTCCTTCTTTTCTACGAGCTCTCAAACATTTAGAAAATATGTAACGTTTAATTGCACTGGAGAAAAAACGTCTCGATCTTCATAATAAGAAATGGCAGATATCTTGTTAAGTATTTTTGTTGATGAGTTAACTAGGAGTAGTACACTGTATTTTACTTTCTTTGTCTATACGAACATGTTATTTTCATGTTTGCAAATTGTTTCAATAAATAAAATAATTTTAAAAAAAATATTTAACCCCCAAAATGTTACGCTCAATTCTGACAAATCATACATGAGGAGACGAGTTAAATAATATTCATTTCATTTAAGCTGAGAGGCAAATCTACCAGCCTTCACTATCGTCATGTTCTGATGTCAGTGTCATAAAAATAAAATTATTATTTCCATATTATAGTTCAACCTGGTGCGGCAGCTAATGGCTTATGCAACTTATGTAGGTTAATGTTTTCTTCTGATCTCTGACGTGTCTGATGCCTACACCCATTTACATTAAATTACAAAATAAAAATGTTACTAGGCCTATCTCTTATTTGACTGGGCGGAAAATAGTGTTCATCAATTCATCCTGGTCATTTAAATGTTGTTAATTCAAGCGAGAGTCGAAGAATTTTGCTATTAAAAAAAGCATTGACCCAATGTCGTACATAATTTAAATTTAAATAGAAATGGTCCATTGCTCTGCCAGAAGTTTTGTTTGTCAATTTGTAGTGATGATGTGCCGGAAATTTCATTTAATTATCCCAAACTCTGCTTTCACGCTTTCTCTCGTCTGCTTTCCTCTGGTAATCATTCAACCATTGTATACTCGATCTCTAGCTCTCTCCATTCCCTTATATTGGTTTCCACTGTATTTTGTGTAATCGTGCAATCCTATGGTTGTTTATTGGTTGGTGTACGTGTATTTTGTGATGTGCAATTCATATTCTCATGACAGCAGAGGTTAACTTTGTAAGTTTGTTTTAATCAACGAAGGCAGTAGAATATTTTTTAATCTGAGCCTGAGTCTAAATATGAACTTTACAATTTTCTCAAATGCTATATTTAAGATTATAACGATTTTGCAATAAGGCACATAATCGAGTGGACAGTACGGTCTCGAGGGTATTTGAGGGCAGCTTTGTCATAATCTAAAATATGATTCGTTTACAAACGTGTGTACTGAATATTACCTGTGAAATCTTAATAACAGTCCCTTGAAAGTCGATGTTTGTGCATTAACTGCGAATGAAAAAATGGACATCGTGAGATTTCCTTTTCAATTTAGTTTCATAATAATGCGAGAAACCCTGAATTGCATTACCGCGTTGCTTCATCTCAAAATCATCAGATTTAAAAAGAAGTTCTGTATCAATTTTTTTTGCTGTATTCACTTCGGCGTCAACTATTTTGAAATCAATATTTGTTTCACTATGTTCACGCATCTACTTCCCTTCCATTGCTCTTTAAGTAGTAGCAAAAAAGAAAACAAACAGACAGACACAAGAAAGCCTAACAAAACAAAACAAAACAAAACAAGCTGCATTTTAACCTACCGTTCAACATAATATTTGTAATTAAGTCGCGGAGCATTAGGCGGATTTCCTTTTACAATTCATTGATAAAATCAAATGTTATTAGGAAGCAGTCAGAGCCCAATACATAGAAAAGTTCAAATTGAATAAACTGGACCCTTTTTGTCATACCACATACATATTTTCTTTCCTAGCGTTCGAGTAAATTTGTTAAACAGAGTCTTAGGATGGGTAAGCATTTTAAAGACGTATATAATCACTTAGCAAATTGGATGAAAAACGTCGCAGAACAAGACGAAATGCATCGAGAAAAAAAAGAAAACAGCACCACAAAAACAGAAAAGTGAGCACGAACCCCATTGCGCTTTCAGAGTACATGCCTCCGTCTGCACATGGTCTCTTTCCTCGAGCTACGTGAAGTTTATGTCTGGTCCATGAAGTTACCTTACACCCAATACCAATCATCTAATTACCGTTTCGCTTGTAAGATTGTTTAATGATCAAAGAGTTTTTTCAGAGCGTTTCTCGGCACGTGCTAGTTGGAAGTCCATGCTCCTCCTAGTATTGCTTTGATCTGTAACACACACGCACACACGCGCACACACGCGCACAAACACATACATACACACACACGCCCACTCACATAGAAAACGGAGTAACTTTAATTTGAAATAAGACGGATTGGACAAAATCGAAATTGACCGTAAAGACTGAACCAATCAGGGGCCTACGACTGAAGTATGGGGTAAACATAATCTGATCATGTTAACAGTCTGCGTTTGTACAATTACGGATAAGATCAGCATACATGAAGCATCCAAACTCAGTAAGCGGACAAAATGTTTCACTTCTTCTTCTTATCATTTCCTGCAAAGACAAATTGGAACACTTTTACCAAATAGTTTGCCAAAAGACTTGCTACCATGTTTACAGGTTAAATGGCTCCAGATTGGCGAATTTGAAGGGAAATGCTAAACTCTATAGCTGAAATAAATCCTCAAAGCAATGGAGAAAATGCTGATCTTCACTTCTCTTTTTTCTGTAATAATCATTGTACTTATCAGTGGTATAACCACTGCTGGTTTTTCATCCTGTACCGATTTACATCTTCTAATGATCCACGGGACTTATGGACTAATGAGCTATCAGTATAATGATCCAGCTATAGATATAGCCGTTGAAGAGATTCGTCGCAGAGTTACAGAGGGGGAATATGTCAATATTTCGCTAACTCTCGAGGATGTTACGATCAGGTGTTTCGGTGGTGAGCGTCAAGCCGGCGCCATCTTTGCCGAGACATATTTCAAACGCCCTCTGGCTGCAATCATGGGTCCACCGTGCAGTAATCAAATGCACAGCGTGGCCGAATTGGCTGCTGCCTGGGACATTCCAGTCTTATCGGGTCTATCGTCTAGCAGAGATCTCGAAAACGAGGCCATCTACAGCACCTTAACTCGAACCACTCAAATAATTGCCAGTGGATACGCTTATGCGATTGTGGAGGTCTTGCGGCATTTCGGATGGGGTGTGGCATCAGTGATTTGGGATGGGGGTATAAACTACTGGTCGCTCATTGAAGAAGCAGCAACGAGGGAACTTGACAGAATAGAGTTTGACTACCACGATTTCTCAATGAGGGCAATTTCTGACAATTTCCTGGCACTTCTCAATGCCTCTAAAGTGGGGAGAAGTAAGAAATTTGATTTCATTTGTTTTCTATCATGTCCTGACAAGTCCTGCTGACCTAGTCGTAATCCCCCTCCCCATTACGGAAGTTGCTGCTACCCTGTTTGGCGTTCAACAACAAGGATAGAGGAATAAACTAAGATAAAAGAAACAGAGAGAGAGAGAGAGAGAGATAGAGGTTTGGAAACGTTTCCAACTCTTATGCGGGTACACGAACAAAATACTACCATTTATTTCGTTTTAGTATTATAATAAAACATTGCCAATCATACAATTTTGAGTAAAAGATTGATTATTACTTAAAGTAATGTCAAGTTTTGATTTTTAAATTCTCACTCTACTTTTTCTTTTCTTTCCATTTCGTTCTCATCGACCGAACTCGCCCATGCCATCACGTATACCCTCTATATACGCATCTTCTGCTCACGTGTAGTTATCTTCATGGCTGTGGATGGCGATACCTTACGTGAGATCATGCTTCATGCCTATGATTTAGATCTTATCAATGGCGACTATGCCTTCATCAACATCATTCCGTTTCGAGATGAGCAGTTGTTTGGGGACGACTCATGGGAGCGTGTAAGTGATCTTTAGTATTCATATCAACTCGCCTCTGTAAGTCAACCATAATAATCTAAGACGGTATTTGAATATTTGTATCTATGCGCTACGTGTAGCTATCAATGACACATTTAGTTGAGCTTCAATTAGTTACGTCTTGTCATTATCTTAATTCAGCACAATTCACAATTATTTGATGGAAACGCTCTTAAATTCCATTCAGCCTTCATTTAAAACTATTCTAGCATGTTGACATCTACCGTAGATCAAACACTGATTTCTTTTTTAGAAAAATGAAATCGACTGAATAATAAATAGCAGGCGGTATCATTATTGTGACCTTCATTTTAAGCGCTTTCATTATGAAGGCTACAATATGATATCGCCTGTCATTCATCAGATCCGTAACTACTTCTAGAGAAAAATCATGTTTACAAGGTATAAACTCTGTAGTTTGTGTAGAGAAATCGTAGCTCATTTCTGTTTCTCATTTTTTTTTTATCTTCCGTCTCCTTTTCTTTTCACCCCTTTCTCTCTCCTAAATCACATTCCCCCTTTCCCCCTCTCTCCACTTTAATTATCGTTCTCCAACTCTCAATTTTATAATTCTTCTTATTTGCTTTCCCTACTTTCATCTCTGTCTCACTGTCTTCTGTACTTCCCATCTATTTCTGCTTATTTCCTCTTATTCGTGATCCCATTCTTTGAGCTGATCAGGGTGATAATCGCGATGAAGAGGCCAAGGTCGCCTATCAAGCTTTGATGACGATCCGTGTCTTTGAACCTACATCAGAAGCTTACCGAGAGTTTGAAGAAAATGTCAGGGAAAGGCAAAAGAGAGATTTCAACATCACTGATTCAGGTGCTGGTTCGGTAAGTGAAGCTAATAAACAAGATTATTCACACCTCAACAAGCATTTTAGATTGATACGTCTATTACATGCTGTGTAGGCTACATTAGTTTTGTCCGTATCGAGGAGGTGTGAAAATATGAACAGCTAAAATAGGAGTTGCAATCAAAATTTATTCTTTATCATGGTGTTATCTTTGGCATTGAGGCGTCTGCTATCTTGAGAGAATTATTGTCCTTCTATATTGCTCTCTTTCAGTCATAAGAGAAAGTGAAGTGAACCCATTACCCATTTCCGTACACGTCTAACATAAAGAGATCATACAATATTGTGAAATTTCAAAAGATCATTATTTACAAGCAGTAGCATTTCGATCTGCATCAAAATAATTTGATAAATCGCACATACCAAAATTGATTTATAATAAAAAAATGTTCAGCTGCATCTCTTCAATAATTGTGATCACTCTTCTACCGTATTACATTTATAGAAGCAGTCATGCGATGTATTAAACCGCGCTAGCTTTAATTTCAGATTTCTGAAAATTTCTTATATTAAGAAGAAAAATAGCATCCCTAAAGTATTCCAACTTCTGCCATGCAAGGAAGTTGGAACGATTCATGAAATAGCACAAGCAGTTCCCCATTGAACCTCTTCAAGAATATCTACTTTCTAGTTATTAAAATTTAAGCAAGCGAAATAAAAGAGAATTTTTAGGTCACTGATTATAGAAACGGTAAAGCACTAAAATAAAAATTAATTTATAGATTTTAGTGTGAAGTCGTAATTAAATTATGTTTGGAGCAGGGAAATTGCTATATAACACTATAACACTGTTCCTGTTTGGAGGGACATATTAGGAGGAATATGATAAAGTATATTGGGAGAAATATGATTATTTAAGTATATTGGAAGGGATATGATAAAGTATATTGGGAGGAACATGATAAAGTATATTATAAGGAACACGATTATTTAAGTATATTTGACGGGATATGATAAAGTATATTGGGAGGAATATGATTATTTAAGTATATTGGAAGGGATATGATAAAGTATATTGGGAGGAATATGATTATTTAAGTATATTGGAAGGGATATGATAAAGTATATTAGGAGGAATATGATAAAGTATATTATAAGGAAAATGATTATTTAAGTATATTGGAAGGGATATGATAAAGTATATTAGGAGGAATATGATAAAGTATATTATAAGGAAAATGATTATTTAAGTATATTGGAAGGGATATGATAAAGTATATTAGGAGGAATATGATAAAGTATATTATAAGGAACATGATTATTTAAGTATATTGGAAGGGATATGATAAAGTATATTGAGAGGAACATGATAACTATATTAGAAGGATTATGCTAAATTATTATCTATATAAGGCTTCAAAGTGGTGCAATAAATAAGTGTATTTAATATCTTTAGCGCAGTACCCGGATGACTTATACGTGAGTGAAGTGATATTCTACATAATATTTATAAAGGTTAATGAAGCGGTCTTTGCTTTACCACGATGGGTCAAAAGAAACTTAATTTAGAAATGAATCAACCATTAATTATGCGTAACCAGTTAACTTTAGTAGGGTTGTGTGATTTGTTTTCTGCCTGTAAGCTCCGAGGTCGGAATTCTAGGATATTTTATATACTTCTTCATCCAAATATTTCTTTTTTTGATACAGAACATCTTCTTGGCCTCTGCGTTCTATGACGTCATGATCTTATATTCTCTGGCGATTAATGAAACGATCGCAGAGGGAGGAGACGTATATGACGGGCATGCTGTTACCAAGAAAATGTGGAACAGAACATTTGATGGTCAGTATTTAGTGTTTCTTTAGACTTTAAGACTTTAATTTGTCTTAAGTGGGTGTGCTCATGTGTGGGATGGGGGACGAGGTTGACTGTTTAATCCTCACTTGTTGCGATAAAATGGTTTAGTGATTATTGCTTCATGTTTAGCCACTTATTATTAGATAATCGTCTTCATTATTTCCTGTGTATACTTTGTTTTGCCTTATACATGTACCATGTTATACTGCATGGATTTATGATACTACTTCATTTTGTCACGATGCTTAATCGTACATCAGTTGCATAGGGCACTTAACACAGAGTTATTTAAAATACATAATAATTTAAACAATCTAAATACATAATATGTTTTGAAGTGTACATTGACCATGAGGACAATATAAAGACAATATGCAGGCATGATTATATTATTAATCGAAGTATGATGTGTATATGTTTGACTATAAGAAGAGGTAGGTTTTGGGCATTCGTTACCAAAGATAGGCTTAACTTTCAATAGTTATTTCTGCTGGACTTCCTTTTTTTACTATGTATGCTTGATACAAAATTACCCCTGTAGGAATGTTTGATGAATTTGTGTGTGAGATAATGAACTGTACTGTTTGATTTAGGATTATACGGTAAGGTGAAAATCAACGAGAATGGTGACCGTGATTCAGAGTATTCTCTTTGGGACATGACAGATACTGAGAACGGTACATTTGAGGTTAGTTTGATCTAAGTTTAATTGATTTTACGGCGATAAAAAACCCAACATAATAATAATAATAATAATAATAATAATAATAATAATGATAATAATAATAATAATAATAATAATAATAATAATAATGATAATAAAACGGTGCTTATAAGCCGCTTACCACCAAAGTCTCCATTGGAAAATAAAGACACTGCCACTATAATAACAAACATTATTAATCCAATCCTCCCACACGAATGATCATTTTTTTAAAATCGGCGATCCGACATTTAATCTGGCTACAAGTCAATTATTGCTCCGTGCTCTATGTCGTCCAAAGTATATGGCTAGAATTATGGTTAGAGTTGCAGTGGAGTTTTAGGTAATATTTCGGGTTAGGCTTAGCGTTAGCTATATTATTGCGGGGTCCAAGGTTGAAGTTAGAAGTTCCTTTAGTGTATTTATAGGAAATTACCGAGGAACTCTTGTCGTAGGAGTTTGTATCGTTACAACCTTTTCCCAATTCACCCATCAGTACATGTAAAATCCGATATACCACCTGCCTCATTCACCACAAATGTCAGATGCTTTCGTTATAAGGAAAATAATTGTATTTCGAAGTACTTTTGTTACTGCCCGCATGAATTTATTGATACTTGAAGACATTTTAGCAACATGAAAAGGTCAACGTGGACAACTGCTTTCAAGGATAGAGTGAACAATCGTTTCATATATAAAAAAATTAATTTAGATCTGTAAATTTTCAATCAAAATTACTTCTTGCATCCGTAAATAGTGACACGAACTGGATGGGAACAGAAACGAAACCCCGTTTATTAAAAATACCTTTAATATCGAAGAAAGATTTATTCATATCTTAGTACATGTACATATATATCTCACTTATATTTTTCTAAGAAGTAAACATTCTGACTAGTATGCCAAACCAAGAAGCATGAATCGGTAATACGGAAGTAACAACAATAGCAAGAAAATGCAAGAGGATGAGTGATTTAAGCCGAGTGGTATTAACCCAATTCTCAAAGATCTCCTGAATTGACCATTCGTAAGATTTCATTCAGGAATGGTCATCAAATAAGAGGACAGCTATCCTTGCAAAATAATTCATTACCAAATAGGCCTAGTGGTACTAAAAAGTAGACATAACTGTATATAACATGAGGCAGATGCACACGATTTTTCTTTTAAAGATTTATATGCATGATGAAACGCATGATGACAACAACCATTATTATAGTGTAAATATTTCATCTCACTGCCATCTTGTTTTTAAATGCCTAGTTGTAAGATAAATTAGACTTAACAGTAACGTGAAGCAGATACTAACGATTTTTCTTTTAAAGATTTATATGCATGATGAAAAGTTACAAGCAGCCATTATATAGTGTAAATATTCATTTCATTTCTTCCTACCAGTTGTGTACTAACTGTTCATAATGTACTATCAAATGTACCATTCATTACATATACGTATCTAAGTTAAATATAGAACAAATAATTCAATTTGGATAATTCAATTACGATAATATAATACATGTAATATATTTATATTTTAAAAAGTTAAAGCGAAAGAAATAGCAGTTTTAATAGCGGAAGCCCAATCTCATTTCTTTCTATAGAAAGAAACAGAGGCCACGTGCATTATCATCAGCGACAATAGTCATGATTGTGCAAAATGAATGGAGTATATGGATGAATCAGTAATTCCTCACGATGAATAATTTTAATGAAATTTGAACAATTCTTATAATTAAAGTAGTTGGCGAATCCTTGCAACGAATAACGTGAATGAAAAGAATTGCAAATGACAACACGAAGGATGAAGGGCATGCAATCTTCTATTTTTTGTTTACGCATGCGATTTAAATGAAACACAATGACCACGCCGTCAAAATATAATTACATTTCTCTCGTGTCTCTTAACTGTTTTTTTTTTAAAACTGCTATCCTGCTCTTTCTGAAGGTGGTTGGTAATTTTTACCTGACATCGTCTGGTTTGAAGTACACGCCTGTCCCTGGTAAACCAATCAAGTGGCCTGGAGGAGCCACTAGTCCTCCTCGTGATACTCCATTCTGTGGATTCAATAATGAAAACCCAGAATGCCAACCAGACGGTAAGTTTTCTATTTTAAAGTTATACCATTCCAATTAATAATGAATATTCTAATCAATGAAAGAAATTTAACGTTCCAAATATGTTTGCAAATGAGGTGTGTAACCATATGATCATCAGAAAAATCATTAAAGATATTTACCGGTTTCCTTACAAACAGAAGTATGATGTTTTTAATAAATTGTACTGACTTGTTAGAAAACTGCAATATTCTGAAGATAACAAAATTGTCATAGCTGCTAAGGCCTCTTGCATCGAATGCTGCGATTCAACGCTACACAAAAAATATCAAACATAATTTTATTTCAAACATATCAGAATCGTGTATGTAGGACGCACTGGCTTTGATGTTAATTCATCGGGAATGGCACGTTGATTAATTGTATTCTGAAATAGTTTGTCGATAGGTCGATTGCAAAGCCGATGAAACTTTCATGAAAACAGAGAAATATATGCAATACAGTATAGAGCAAAATGATTTATTTTGATAAGTAATAAATGTTAAATTCGATATGTTTTGTTTGTTTGTCTTAGGGAGGCTTTCGACTCTTGCCATTTCTGGAATAGCTGCAGCATCAGTACTATTACTATCATTTCTTATCCTAGTCCTCGTGTACAGGTATCTAAACATATATTTATGATTCATAACAAACGGTAGAAAAGCTGGACTATCACTGTGCTAAAATTATAAAACGATGATTTTAAGAAGTACAAGGAGTAATAACACTGATACATTATATTTTTACAATTTTTTTTTTCAGTTTTCTCTACGGATAACTGATTTTTCTTATATGAGTGAAGATATGGCGTATATATTCCGTACTGAATGAACGCCATAAAACTACTACCAACAACAACAACAACAACAATAACAACAACAACATTAATTGAACTAGGAATGAGAGAAGTCACTATAACAATGTCCCAATGAAAAATAAGTTACTTATTTTGGATGTGATACAAATTTGTTGTGTCATTGACGTATTTATACTAATTGATGTCTTTAATGAATTTGACGAACAGAGAGAATAATGAGCTCATTTCGCAATTGTTTTAAAGGAAAATACGTCTAGATGCTGAACTTCTCCGTATGTCTTGGAAGCTGTCTTGGGATGAACTCGTGTTTCCTGAAGAAACCAAGTCTGGCCAATCAAAGTTTTCTGGTTCTTTCGTAAGTACATACAAATATATAAAGTAAATCTACCCTTTTGTAAAGGCATCTCTGACCGTGAGAAGCCAGAAATAAATAGTGGAAAACTAACCTAAAAACTTCAAATTAAAGAAATTAAAATATTTAAGAATTCTTTATTACACGCGACCTCGCAACCTATCGTACGATAATACACCGGTGGACATCTGTCATGTCTTTAGTGCAATGGAAGCAGAAGAAGAAACAATAGGCACGTTGAATGCTAAATTATTGACTCTTTCATTTCTGTATGCGACTTGCAATTTCTTCTTTTCTCATGGGACCTTGACAACGATTTTTGCTACTTTTTAAAGTAGATAAGACTGGAAATGCACCTTGACCGCGAAAAGCCAGAAATGAATAGTGGAAAACTTCCCTCCCCCAAAAAAACTAAAGACTTGAAAAATATACTTAAGAATTCTTTTATTGCACCCGATTTTGCGAATAAATGATACAATAATACACCAGAAGCGGTTTTGTCATGTTTGTAGTGCAATAGAAGAAAGAAGAAAACAGGTATATTTATAGATGATAAATTATTGTCTCTTTCATTTCTGTATTCGACTTGCAAAGTGGTGTTTTCTCATGAGACCTTGATAATGATTTTTTTGACAAGATAAGACTCGTAATGAGAAAGAAATTATAAACGAAAAAATTCCTTTTCTTTGCACTTGCGTTTGCACGACGCGCATAATGTTCTTTCAACAAAAGAACGTCGCATGTTAAAAAAAAAACGTCATGCACATGACGTGGCCAATTTAATGTCTATGCATTTTCAGGGTTATATTCATTTCTACACTCATGTCAAATCTAAAGAAACTACAAATAATTCATATGACGTATTGGACTACAGTTAATCTGATTATTTTTCTCAGTATGGAAGAGAGAAAGAGAGAGAGAGAGAGAGGGTGGAGGGGGAGAAAGAGAAGAAATGCAAGAGAAGTAAAGCGGAATGGATATAGAAAGAGCAAGGGAAAGAGAAGGAGAGAGAGAGAGAGAAAGAGAGAAGTTGATGGGAATAAGTATAGGTCTGCAGTTTATTTATTTTTCTGATTTACCTCTTAATATATTCTATAGTTATAATATCCATTTTAAAGTTTTTTTTCAATCTCTTTATATGCATTATGTTATATCATATTCATTTAGTATTGCTATACTTCTTTTGAACTTTTGAACTTAAAAAAAACTTTGAACATTTGAACATTTAGACTTCTTCAAAATTTTAAACTTTTAAACCTTTAATTCTTTTTCGATCTTGTGAGTATTGGTGTTTTAAGTTTTATCGGTGCTCAGTCACATTTAAGCTTTCATTGTGATATATACTGTTCCATGATTATGCCATTACTTTTTATCTAATTTTAACTACATGAATCTATATATCATTGTCATTTTATGTTATCAGATTCGCAATGTTTATGAAAACCAGTCCTTTCACTGTTTAGACTGTTTATACCGTGTATAAATAAGTATAAACAAATAAATAAATGAATTGAATAAATACAAAATTTGTGGTTGGATTACGATCATTTCGCTCGCTCGTAGAGTGGCACCGGGTTCGGAGTAATCGCATGTTCAGTGTAGAAATACAATGTAAAGCTCATTGCTCAGTTTTTCTGTCTTTTTAGTTATCTCTATATATATGTTTTGCCTGCCTTCTGCTTATTCTATTTTCGTACAGGTGACGTCAATCGGCCATGGAACATCACACCACAGACAGATGTTCGCCACTGTGGCTAACTACAAGGTACATCTCATGTATTACCAGTCATAATTATATTAGGACGAATACAGGACACCTTGATGTTTTAAAGGCCGTCTGCACTACTTTGGCTAGAAGGGATTAGACCACCCAGAGAGGTCACTGACAGGTGGCTATCTCATCAACCCAGCTCTCAATTAACATAAGAAGAAGAGGATCATGGGGGACCAACAGGCACCGACTGGGGAAGCTTTCAATATAGAGGGAGCAAGTAGCTACAAGTAGTACAGTGGGGCTTTTAAGCATCATTTTCCACTTTTTATTCAAAAATAAAAATTTTGATGATTTCAATTTAAAACCAAGTTCTATGTATATACAACGCTGCGTTTTTTTCTTCTTCTTCAAATAATTGCCATTGCTTTTTTATTCTTCCACAATAATTATTCATTCAATCGATTGATTTCTATGGAATAATCATCTTCCTTTCATTTATTTCCGCCACTTCTTCCGAACAGGGTCGACTGGTAGTGATCAGAAGGATTGAGAAAACTAAACTAGATTTAACTCGCGAGGTATTGAAGGAACTAAACTATGTAAGTTCTTCATGAATTATAAATTATGCTTCACATGGACAAAGTATTTATGTTCCATTTAAAAAAATGCACAAACCTATACCTAAATGTGGTAGCTCGTCACAAAGGGACTTTCTGTTCGTGACTATGATTTCGTTTACGTCCAATACACAATGTCGACGTACCTTTGTTTTCATAGCGTCTTGTCAAAATCTTCTCTTTGAAAAATGCTGGGTCGTTGGAAACGATGTAATTTTAGCGAAAGCTTTGCAATTATTATTACATTACGCGATTCCCTAACTCAGATTGAACGGTAATTTCCTTTCAATAATCTATGTATTCATAGCAACGATTCATTTAATTTGCTAAAGTGCTTGGGTGGGACATAACTCAAAGGTCTCATTCATCTTCTTTTGCGATTCTTAATCTTTGAAATCAATGGAAACTAGATTGCGAGGTGCACTTGGTTCAACTAAATTAAATAATTCTTCTCAATTTTGTTCTCGTTGTTCATTTGTGTAAAAGTAAGAAAAGGTTAAAATGTCTGCAACATAGCAGCACATCCATCATGACCATTCTCCTTTTATTTGCAACGAGCAAACATAGATGTATGCCATGTATACTTTGACCTCATATGCGACTAAACGCACATGGAAAATGAATGTTACCTTTCTCAAATGCCTGTAATGCCGTTGTTGTTCGTTTGGCATTAGCCATAGAATCGGCAAAATGTGATTTCTTTAAAGCACGAATTATCCACCAATGTTTTATATGCAATCATCCAAGATACGAATGTTAAGATGATTATCGAAATTCTGAAAAAATAGCAAGCGATATATTTTTTGTTTAGCATAGAAGGGAAACGTATTGTATATCTGATTATTAACCCACCGGTGCTCTTTCTTGTATTTAGCTTGAAATATGGAAGTTCAAATATTCCGCTCATGAGCATAATTATCATTATTTCAATTAATATATTGGCATTCTTTGATTCATGGTTTCTATCGAAATACACTACTTTATCATTTTTGTTTACAGATGCGTCAAGTGGAACACAACAACCTTGTTCGTTTCGTCGGCGCATGCGTAGATGCTCCCAACATATCTATCATTTCTGAGTACTGTCCTAAAGGAAGTCTTCAGGTAATACTTAAAATTCATCTTTCCATTTTATTATAAACAGTATATTTGTCATAATTTTTTATATCTATGGTGTAGAAATAAATATATTTTTTAAAGTTATTGATGATAATATATGATTTTAATTTCTTACTTTCGTTTCGGGACATGACTGATATTACATATAGCTAACGTTTAATATGGGGATTACTATCATTTGGAATTAAAAAAACAACATTTTTTTTTTTTTTTCAATGGCCTCTTTAAAAAAATCAAACGTTTTGTGTTTAACCGAATCCTTTTTTTTTCTTCTTTTTTCAGGACATAGTTGAAAATGATGCTTTAAAACTAGACAACATGTTCAAGAATTCTCTCATCACTGACGTTATGAGGGTAAGTATGACTGCTTAGTAATTTATGGACTAACAGAAACAAAGCATGATAGACATATTGAATCATATCTTCTCTCTCTCACTTGCATGATAATTTATGATAAATTGTGATTTGAAAGTTAGTGAATCCTTTTACTACGAGAAGGAACGCGCGCAATTCTTGTAAAGCATGGTACCGATATATTCTAATATTGTTTATTTTATAAGGCATCAAGAGCTCCTCTTAGGCTCGTGAAACCACATTTACCTATCTGCATTTTTATTATATTGATTTTTATTTGGAGAGTAAATAATCTCAACACAATAATTAAAACAAAACAATTGAAACAAAAGTCTTTGAAAGTTCACTTCTTCACTATAACCCGTTTCAATTTTATTTCTTTAGATCATCTGAAGAAATAAATATAAATATATTATAGTCTTATAAATAATATTAAGATATACATATATATAATAATAATAATAATAATAGATTTATATAGCGCAGCTTTTATACAAAATATATTCAGCTGCGCTAGGCGAATATTGGTGACATTAAAGCAAGTTATATTTCCAGTTTAAATGTAGTACTTGGCCATTGATATACTTTCAAAACAAATTACAATTACTTCAGGGACTGCACTACCTTCACAGCAGTGTGATCATGTTGCATAGTAGACTGTCATCTTCAAACTGCGTGGTCGACAGCCGATTCGTTCTCAAACTCACTGACTACGGGCTGACCAAGTTCAGAGACACCGATAGCAATGAAAGACAAACCTCAAAGAACGAACAGAGTAGGTGTATAATTCAGTCCGTTTAAGCTTACTCGAGACTGGTCAGCGCAAACTTTGAAACTGAGTTAGTTAATTAACCTATTTTCATAATTTATGCAAAGTGTAAACTTTATTCACTTGAAAATATGCCTTTACTGTTGTCCTTTAGCAAGACATTAGTCTGCATTTGCCCCATTCAATCCAGATCATGGTAATCCATTAATGCTTATTTTGAGAAATTCTTTGAATGCTTTCCGCGTCTTTGGGAAACTGAGAACTGGGAAGTGGGAATAAGGGTAAAACTATTATTTTCTTGGCGCCCCGTGCGTAATCTGCGATAGATTTGTGCACACTCAGAAAGTAGCTATTGTTATCATTACTAGTATAACTGAATTTTTTATAATAACGAAGTATGTCCCTCGAGACGATACATTTGAAAATTATTGTCGTTAAATAAAGGGAAGAACCGTGGATATTCATCGTCCATTTTCAATACTAAAAAACATGTTCTACTGTATATACGTAGTTTGACCCTTGAGACAATATTTATAAAAATATCTTTAAATGAGGCGAAAGACTGTTTATATTCATCGTTCCTTTGAATTACTCAAAAACATGTGTACAAAACGATATAATAAGAAAAGCCAAACATATTCATAATTCGTAATAAAGTGAATTTTATCAGGAGAATGCGTCACTATTTCTCTATGTTTGGGTGACAGAAATGCTCTGGCAAGCCCCGGAGACACTGCGATCAGCCAATCAACAGCCAACTCAGAAGGGCGACATCTACAGTGTGGGTATCATCATGCAAGAAATCGTCACAAGAGCACGCCCTTTCGAAGAAGAAAGAAGCTCCATGGAGATCGATGGTATTGTATTATCATAACTATTAAACGCCCTTTGGCTAGAATTATTAATTTATATCTGCCACATCGACCCAGGTGTAGTATGCGGATACCTGATAGGATTTATTCCTTGAATGTACTGAGTGCTTCGGTTGTCAGAGCTAAAGCCGGGTAGTGATTTCCAAAAGCCCTTCGGGAGCATTTAGACACATTATTTATGCGCTTCAGTACTACAAAAAGCGGGTTTTTATAATTGATGTCACTTTCATTAAAATTTATATGAACTAGAAACGGAGGACTTATTGAGTGGACGAGAACGACGTGAACGTCCAATGATCATGCGTGTCCATGGCAAGCCGTTTTAACATTTATTCCTATTTCTTGATATCGAGAATTGGATTCTTGATATCAAGAAATGATTTTCTGTTGTAAAGCAATGGTATTTCTTGATATCAAGAAATGATTTGCTTCGGTAAAGCAATGGTAATTCTTGATATGAAGAAGTAGGAATAAATGTTAAAACGGCTTTCCATAGACACGCATGATCAGTGGACTGTTAACGCCGTTCTCGTCCACTCAATCTAAAAGTTCTTAATATCCTAGAGGGTGATCGCAGAACCTGGAAACATGGAAGAAGATATGTCTTCTTTGATAGACTAGTTTACAAATACATATACATTTATGGATGTTTCTTTCGTCGGGCCCAGTAACGAGGAAATTAATTAACCAGTTATTAATGAATGAACTACACTACTAGGAAATCAGTCTGCATACATTACGTGTTGCTATGCCGGACAAGCCTCATGCACGCTTTCGTGTTCTCAAGAACAACCTTTTGTCTAAAAATGATGCATACAATTTGAATATGTTTCGTAAACCGGTCTATTATTGATTTTTGGAACTATTTCAAGCCATATCCGAGGTTTGACATGTGAAGCATTTTCCATGTGTGTTATTGATCATGTTGATAAAGGTGTAAAGTTTTTTTCTCGACCTTAACCGCGCGTTGTTATAAAAACGCAACGTAGAGTTTATCTTTTATATCTATGTATCATTCATTGGAGTTTTCCCAGCCTTCACTCTTATATTTTCATGGAAAAGCACCTATCGCTACTTGATTTCAATTTTTCAGAAATCGTGAAGAAGTTGACAGAGACGAGTTCACCACCTTTCCGCCCGGAGATAGACCCTCAACTATGCACCGATGAGATAAGGTCCATCATACAAGCATGCTGGGAAGAAATGCCAGAGAATAGACCAGCTACTACAGATTTACTCTCAAGCATGAAGAAAATCAACAAGTAAACCGAAATAGACCTAATTCTATTAAATATTTTGTTTAATAAAAATTCAAACTAAAAAGGACATGTCGATACAAATATTATGTTTGATTGGGGCACCGCCTTTGTAAAGATATGCTTCCAAAAGTTTTGATTTTGATTTCGCTTTCAATACATTCTGGAAAAACAGACATCGTTTGCATCTATATGATGGAATACTGTATCCCATAATACCTTGATTTATAGTAGAAACAACTGCAGGATACAGAGGTAAAGTGAAGCTTGATTTACATGATGGCAACAAATAATAGAACAGTTTTCCATCTTACTGATGCAATCGTTAATATCTCCCCTAGGAAGCGTTAGTGAACCAATTAACTGCATATGAAAAAGTATGAAGCTTGTCGCCTAGATCGGATGAGATTGATCTAAGTCATTATTTAAATACACATGTAACTAAATGATTCAAAAAAAATATATTTTGCATCATAAATCTCTTTCAGGAATTTATCTGGTGGCAACATCCTTGATAACTTGTTGAGTCGCATGGAACAGTACGCCACCAACTTGGAGACACTGGTGGAGGAGAGAACGGCAGCGTTCTTAGAGGAGAAGAAGAGATCAGAGACACTGCTCTATGAAGTGCTGCCTAGGTAAGTAAGAAAGAAAAAAGAATGAAAGAAGGATGGAGAGAGAGAAAAAAAGAGAGAGATGAGAGAGAGGGAAGGAGAGAGAGAAGGAGAGAGAGAAGGAGAGAGAGAAAAAAAAATTCGAAAAGAAATATTATAGTTTTCATGAATGATTCGCTTGATATCGATTCGCTACGTGTCATAATTTTTATCAATGTGATTTTTAGGCTGTAGGCCTATACTTTTTGTTTGACGTGTGTCATCGGATCTTTACGAAGCTGAAAATATATTCCACTTGAACTATGTTACTTTTTTATTGTTCGCAATATCAAGTGTTGACATTTGATTGTGTAAATGTGTGACACATGCTAGTCAAGCTTGGATTATCAATGCTTATGATTATGATATTTCTTTACGGAGGTAGCTCATGTTCGTTAAGATAATTTAAGGCATGATGATCAAACGTTGTAATGGTACCACTTGAATCATTTGATCAAAGAGAACAACTGACCACTGCGTCACGATTCTTTAAAGAGCCAGTCTTCTGAATTGTACCATAGATCTGTAGCTGAGCAGCTCAAGCAAGGATCGTCGGTCAGTCCTAAATCCTATGAAAGTGTGACTATCTACTTCAGCGACATCGTAGGCTTTACATCTATCTCTGCTGATAGCACACCACTACAGGTAACAGGCTGTGAATACTGACATGTACAAGATGGAATCAAATAATAATAATTATAATAATAATAGTCAGTTCTTGTATAGCGCTCATGTCTGTCAAACTTGACACTCCATTTCATCACCTATAGGCCCCATTTCACAAAACTTGTCATCGGCGACAAATGACAGCTTTTGTTTTAAAATATGGAAATCCTTGCTTCTGATTGCTTATCAGCAGATTTGTCACTGATTTTTGTCATTTGTCATTGAAAAAAGGCTTTGTGAAACAGGTCCCAGGTGTTTCACAATAAAAAGTTAAAGGTTTTAAGCATTAAATGTGATAGCTATTCCACATTTCGGTGACGTAAATGCAGGCTTACCGCTATATCTTGCTCAAAGCGCAAAAATAAAGAGCGCCCTCCACTTCTTTCCTCGAAGGTCTTTGGTCAATTACATGTACATAACAGAAAACCGTCAATAATTTGGCATTTTAATAATTTTGATGAGCTTACCTCTACATCTCGCTCAGAGCGCAAAAATAAAGAGCGCCCTCCACTCCTTCCCCCAAAGGTCCTTGATCAATTCCATGTAAATACCAGAAACCGTCAATAATTTGGCAGCTAATTGTAAGTAGGAAACTTTTTCTATAAAACCAGCCCCCGGTGGATAGAGTTTTAATAGTATGGAACAGCCATAGGAATGGTCTATATTATGTTATCACATACATGTATAAGTATGTTGTTTCGTAAAACAAAAAAGCTAGGTATAGATATTTCCTTTTTTCACCATGTTTTTTTAAAAGAGTTATTTGCTAATGCGCCATTATTTCAATATCATTTTAAGAACAGAAAATCAGAACATTTCAAGAAATGTTGTTTTAGAGAACGTGATTATCAAAGAAACTCATACATGTACGATTAAAGTTATGGCAATTAAATGTTAAAATAGATTCATATTATGCTGAATGATGACAACAACACTTGACAGGTATATTTCAGATATCACTTGGTCACTAAATGGCACTATTATTATTTTTTCTCGACCTCTTGAATTTCCGCAAATGTTGACTCAAGGGAGGTACACGCTGAAACCATCATAAACAGAGTAGACGATGATATTTGACCTTGATTATTATCCCTTTGAAATCTTTGAATTGTAGTTTTCCTGGAAATCACACTCTGTGTCTCAAACACCTAGATATTACATATATGTACGACTGGATAATCGCTCGGCAAAACTTGCTTTCTTATTCCACCATTTACTGATTCTGTAAAATTTTCATTTATTTCTTGTCATCTAGGTGGTGACTTTGCTGAATGACCTCTACACATGTTTCGATGGCACAATTGGAAACTTTGACGTCTATAAGGTAATTCAAACACATACTACAAATCATGTTGTCTGCAACTAAATAGAGAATCATCCACTAATACATTTAATTCGTTTTTTTCTTCTTCAAGCTCTAGCCACTGAAGAAGACAACTTGTATGGGGTTGTGCTGAATCCATTTTCATTTTTTTAAATACCACAGACCAGGTCACTAATAAGTTTACAGGTATTAATATGATGATGTTTATAATTATACGATACTTGATTCAATGCTGTTAGGAGGGGAGGAGCGCGCGGGGGGGGGGGGGGATGGGCTAAATGTTTGAAATTGCAATTGGATCCCCTCCCTCCTCCTTAAAACATTAGTACCGTCAGTCTTCCCAGACTCACTAATTTGGAGGAGAGGGGGGGGGGGGGAGATGTGGGTGGGAATGGGGCAAATGTCCCCGCCATAATTTTTAATGTAATGTGTCTAGGGGCGAGGCCCTCGCAGTGCTTTTCCTAGATCCGCCTAATAGGTGTAAGTGACATAACATTTATTTCAGGTTTCAAATCGATGTTCATGATCTCCAATTTCAAACACCTCCATTGGAAGCTATAGAGAGGGCATAATATTTGACCTTTTCATATCTGCACGTGGAAACATGAATTGTGAGGATTGCACATGTATGTGACCCCTTGTCTGACAAGATTGCTTTATTTGTGTAGGTGGAGACGATCGGTGATGCATACATGGTTGTGTCTGGTCTACCGATCAGGAACGGGATTCATCATGTCAAGGAGATTGCTTCCATGGCACTGTCTCTTGTCAGGGAAGCATACAAATTCAGAATCAGACATAAACCTGAAGAGAAACTCCTCCTCAGGGTCGGAGTTCACTCAGGTAAAGAACATCGAAAAGAATTATGGAATCATATTTAAACGTCTTCTATCAATTGGTACAGGTCAGGTCTGTCTATTTCTGAGAACTACCGTTACGTTGGTCTAGTAGTTGCGTGGATACGGGGGGGGGGGGGGAGCACACGGTGGCACGTGCCCTTATTAAATGGTGACAAAGAGAAAGAAAGAAAATGGAGATAAGGAGATATTAAAGTGAAGAGGGGAAGTGAACTTGGAAAGAAAGCGTTACAACTCTTTTGAACACCCTAATTAACATGGCCTCGTCAGCTTGCATATAAATAATAGCAATACCACTAGCTGTAGCAACCAAGGCTTCGTCTTATAAAGAGTTACGAGTGATCCAAATCAATCGCAAGTCCTCCAATCAATCGCAAGTTTGCAGTCTCCTACCTCTTGTGTACATAGTTGCGATTAATATCAACTCTTTATAAGACGGGGCCCAGGATGCTAGAACTTTGTAACACACAGAAGGGAAAACAATTTTGTCAACTCGATTCGACTCGATTTGAAAGAAAGGAAACTGAGAATGATTGAATCTCACTTTTCTTGTATGATATAAGTAAAGAATTAATTAATCCCTTTCAAGAAACCGCACCCGAAATTATCAAGGGAACAATTTTGTCAATTCGATTCGACGCGATTTTGAAGAAAGGAAACTAAGAATGATTGAATTTCACTTTTCCTTTTAATGGTGTAAGTAAAGAATTAATTAATCCTTTTCACGAAACCACACCCGAAATAATCAAGAGCAATGGACTGTGTAGATATTCTAATCATGGAAAGGAGCAGAAAGCTTTGTGGTATAAAATTGACTTGTAAAAAAAAAAAGAAGAAGTGATGAAGAAATAGGAAAAATGAGCAGTATTCATGGTATCAATGAAACAAGGACATGGTGAAAGGATATATTACGGTGATCTCGGGGGCGAAATTATCTTCCAAACTCGAATTAAGGCGAGGGAAGACAATATCTCGCCGGGCGAGATTCAGGTTTTCTTTTATACCCTATGTTATATCGTGGACAGTACTACAGTGAGGTGATAGTGTTGGGGGGGGGGGCTGTGCTCAAACATAAATTCCGTTTATCCAACATTATAGGAGAGCGTTGAAAAGAGTTATTTAGATGAATTTCCTTTTCCTGTTCTAGTTTCTGACACACATTGGTTTTTGTAACTTCCTTGAAACTTCTTTTGTATTTGTTACTTCTGTTTTGTAATCAACACAATGTTTATTTGTCATTGTACACCCCTTTACCCTTCTTTGTTATATATCATTCTGCTTTAACATGATCTTTGCTATTGTTAAACCTTTGGAAAAATACTTTTCGTTCTATGATAGATGAACCGAAAAGTTAAATCAAATTAAATAATTTCGGTGAGAAAAGTTTGTCCCACTTCTCGAGCAAGCAAAAAAAAAGAAGGAAAAAAAAAGGAAGCTTAATACAGTCATTGTGTTGATCAAAAGAGGAAATAAAACAACTAAAGAAAGCTTTTGGAAGAAGGTGTGTTTCAAAATCCATCCCACATCTCCTTGAATTACAGGTGCTTGCGTGGCAGGTGTGGTTGGTCTGAGAATGCCAAGGTATTGTCTGTTCGGAGATACGGTGAATACAGCATCGCGGATGGAGTCTACTGGACAAGGTGATATCATCATCGTGTCTCCTATTATCATGATCCAACCTTGATAACAAAATACTTTTAGACTACAATCGTACACAATCAGAGAAGTAGACTGGTTAAAGTTTGAATGAAATCGGTCCAAATTTCTAGCAAGTTATGATTTTTTGAGAGAAGTAACTATTATAGGTATGGAATCTTCAAATTGGAGAAATCGGTAATGTATCCGCAATGAAGTTGCGGACAACTTTCCCATTCGTTCAACACACAAATGGACTCCAATTTCTGTTTTTGAATAAAAATGTATGACCCAGGAGAGTTTTTTCTCTTATTAGAGGACCTTAATAATAATAATAATAATAATAATAATAATAATATTTAATTTGTATATAGCGCTAAATACAAATGTCTCTAAGCGCTTTTACCCCGGTCATTAGATGCTTTCCATTTTATATTGAGTAGTGTCCCAAGAGAAAAGGGAGAGTTATCCGCGACTACGTCACAGTCTTATTATTGGTCCGATATATTTCAAACTTTCGCCATTCTATTTAACTTATTTTTCTGCTTTCATATAAACGAACGTATTACAAAGATTGGATTACCCTTTAATAAGTAACAATGGTCACACCACTAAATGTCACTAACTCATTAACTGCAGTTAATGAATCGATGAAGAACAACAGTTGGCTGATGGAGCTAGTATCTGCTGTTGTTGATTTGAAATGAAATTTAAAAGAAATTGATAATAAATCACGATAAGAATGCTGATAGAGATAATGATGACACCAAATATGTAATAAAAAGGCACGTGACTTGTAATTATTTCAATGATTAGAATAATGAATGATCATAAATAGGAAAGATGTATAAATATTTGAAATCATCAACAACTCAACGGGGAGGAAGGGTAGCGGTCGCTCAAGTTCAATACTATTCGTCTGTTAGACTTATCAATAACATATTTCCTCTATTCTTTCGTGCAATTGCGGTCTATCATTCAACTATGTATAGGTGACGCGTTAGGCTGTATGTTAGTGATATAAATCATTATATTGCTATGGTAACTATTCTTTACCCTTTATATTTTGCAGCAATGAAAGTTCACATCAGTGAGTCAACGAAGAAATTGCTCGATACCTTTAAGAACTTTGAGACAGAACCCCGTGGTGAGGTAGTCTTGAAGGTAACAGTTGTTTTTCTGTCTTTCATGAAAGGGATGTAACGAATGCCGATGTCATATTAAAAAACCTTCGCAAACATTATTGAACATTTTTGGCAAGGTTTTGAGCAATAGACGAGAATTTTAAATGAAGTGTACCAGAAATTTGAAAAATAACCATTGGAGATCCGTGAAGAAGCATTAGACATGATAACTTTTGCTATGGATGACCCATGGTCGCACCGAAACCATTATATCTACAAGACATGCCCCTGTTTTTATTGAAAACACAATTAGCACACTTTCGTCGCTCGTAAAAGTGAACGTTTTTGTTCAAAACTTCTGGACATAGGAACCATTGTATCTCGTTAACATACTACAGTAGCAAATGGTTCCATGCTTTTATGGTTAACTCATTTAAACTAAGTTCGAGAAGATGATACAGAATGATGATAATACATTTAGTAATACGTCAAGTGCTTAGCATAATGAGAATGATTTGACACTTTACGCAAACTGATAATCAGTCATTTCATTTTCGACGAATCCATTGTCTGTCTCTTTTAAATTGAAGGCCTTCTGTCTCTTTATCCATCTTCCTCTGCCTTTTGGTCTCCCTTTTCGCTCTTTCGTCTCTCTCTCTCTCTCTCTCCTCCCCCCTCTCTCTCTCTCTCTCTCTCTCTATCTCTCTCTCTCTCTCTCTCTCTCTCTCTCTCTCTATATATATATATCTCTATCTCTCTTTCTCCCTCTCCATCTGTTTTTATATATCTATTTTGCCCTGTATGATTTATGTGGTCAAGGTGTTTCTACATTTTCTATGCCCTAAACACCACAATGCCACCATGGATAGAATGGTGTTTGATTCTTTAAATCCTTGCAATTATTTACACTCGATCACTTTTCCAACTCATTGCAGGGTAAAGGCTCTCAACAAACTTATTGGTTAACTGCGGAAGCATCGACAAGCGTCATAGCTTGCCCCGTTACTGAAGTTGAGGTCTGAGCAGTATGATCGAAGCTCCTTCCCATGGATCTTCATTTCATAACATTTTATCAACTCGATAGATTATTCATAATTTTTGTTTAGGTTACCGAACCCACGGACCAGCTAAATCAAGGTGTAGGGCAATGCGCCCCCCCCCCCCTCCTTTCATTCCGCGACGCTTTATCATCATATTATAAGTCATTAATAAATAGTCCGCGTTTGATCGATTCGCGTCGCAGCACTAATATCATTTGGAGAGACATTAATATACATTCGTTGCTCTCCACCCAGGTGTAGTCAATAGGCAATTTTAACGCCTAAGTACAGCTGGGCTAAAGCCAAGATAATAAAAGTAATTTTATAGGGCCCTTTTAGCATCCTCAGGATGGATATGTCTGTGTGCAATAAAAATTTAGCCATTATCATTAGTGCTATTGTTTAAAAGCTTTGAAAACTGTTGCTATCATGATGTAATCTTGAATATTGTCTTTCTTGCCGCATACGGTATAATACAATAACGAAGCGAGCTAAACCTTGGGACTTTTGTTCAACGTAGCAGTCACCGATTTTTTTATTTTTATGATAATGTATCACTATTTACCTATCATAAACACAATTGAAAAGACTACAGGGTGTGTATATTGAGGTTAAAAATACAATTTCCTTTCATACATCGCGTGTGCGTAATGCTTTTTGAATGCTGCAAAATAAATATGTTCTTGGGATTTTGGTTCGGTAATATCTTGATCATTGTAACAGTACATAAATGAACACTTATGTCCATTTTTTATTTATTTGCATAAAATGTAAATGTATTGAATTGTGAATATGTATATATTTATCTGGGTTTTGTATATACATGTGTAAAAATGTATGAATTTAACGGACCAAGAATCTAATCTTATCATCAAGATGAATAACTTTGAATCAGAATTAGACCTCATAAGTTCAAGGAGGTAGTATCTATTTTTATATGTTAGATTGCCTTAGACTCAGATTGGAATATGTTAATTGTGACATTTCTGTTCAATCTACACATGTCTTGATTATTAGACGATTTTTAATGTATTTTATTGTATTATTCATTATTCTAGCGATTTTGTTGGGGTATTTAGTATACGTTGGCACTTTGATTAGCATACACTTAACGCAAAGCAAATAGATTAGACTTTTCTAAATGATTCGTAAAACCTAGGTCATAGTAGAGGTACGGCCTGTCGCCGACTCCCGACTACCACTCGTGGGTAATTAGTTGTCAGAGGTCGTAGAAAGGTGTTTGGCAGTCTTTGAAAGGTTGTCAGTGGTCGGCGATTGATATCCAGAGCATTTTGGTCAGCTGGAGGTTTACGCTACTGCATCGAAAACCTTTGCTGGTCGTGGATAGAGTTTTCTTGTTTTTTCCAAAGTGTAGGCGACAATTCTCGGCCAGGGGGGGGGGGGGGGCATTTCATTAAACAATTAGTCTGGGGTTATCACCGACTAATATCATTTTCACCGACAATTTAGTCAGCACTGACTTAATTTGACCAATCAGAGGCCTGGAAAATAGTCTTTGACAATAGAATTGTCGGTGAAAATGATATTAGTCAATGAAAACCACCGACTAATTGTTTCATGAACCGCCCCCCTTATCTCCGACTTATCCTCAGTGCGTATCGACTATTACCTAGCGATATTTGGTTGAGAAAAGGTCGGCAGGTGATCGACGAATGATACACGATCAGTTGGTGATTAATCTCCAAATGTTCGCAGAACATGACCATGAGCATGATCATGCAGCAGGGAATTAAATGTTGAGCCTTTGGAACTTCCTGTCTATTGTTGATTGCTACTGCTGCCTCACACTTTTAGGTTGTCTTTAATTTTTCTTTGAAAGGAAACAGCAGGGGAAAAGCATCAAAATTAATCGAAGGAAAAGAGGCATTAAATGATTAATGTATTGCTGCGGGGTTGTAGGCAATTATGCTATGCGTGTATCAGCCCTCCTGGCAGCTAAAAGTACACCTGAATAAGCAGATAAAATAAATGTGTCTTTGAAAGTAATATCATACTTTTTCTCTCCCGATTATTTGCTACGATTAAAAAGGAGAGGGTCATAATATTGCTACGTTTGTTAAAAGTGATTGAAATGAAGTCAAGAATACTCTTATTTCATAGTCAAAGCATTTCCTATGTTGCAGTGTTAGTACGATATTAAAGCATGAGTTCTGAAAGTAGCCCGTTTCCCATCCATGTTTTTAAGCGGAAATTAATGAGGTTTCACTGCCTCTAATGAGTTGTGTTTAATCTAATGTATGATAATCATTCAGTAGACAATTATTCAGCGGATAAAAGAATTGAAACTTGTTAAATATTTTTTTTTAAACTCCTAATAACATACTCTTAACAACACAGTTTCATTTAGAGAATTGAATTTCAGCAAGTTTGATTGAGAGCACAAAAAAAAATTCCCTTCGCAGCTCGTGTTAATGGTTCGTTTTGCGTCTCAGTTATTAGTGAATGGCATGAGAAACATAATAGGTTTTTACATCCATCATATAAGAGTTCTTTTGTTTCCAGTCAACACTAATCTATTTCAATATCTTTGTGGAGACACTTCGCTTTTGGTTTTATGTGTATATAGGCCTACTGTTGTCTATTGAGTATAGTTCAAAGACCATATCTTAATAAATCAATATATTTTATGGACGTGATACCTTAATTTGTACTACTTTGTCATCTTTGTTACTTACTTTATGAACATTACTGTAAGACGCTCGCATAATACACTCTCCCAGAATATTCACAATTACAAGCGCTGTTCCGTGGCATTATTCATTACAATAAAATATAGAGGTAACGGCATGCATGCCTGATGATGATAACGATGATGATGCTGCTGCTGCCGATGATGATGATGAAGATGAGGATGATGATGATGACGATGATGATGCTGCTGCTGCTGATGACATTGCACGTACGGTTGCAAGACCATAATGATAAAGCTTTTGATAATGCGGAAGAGAGGAAATGCCATTTTATGAGGAAGAAAATAAATTGTAAATGCAAATGTAGGAATAAATAATGACAACACCATCAAAAATGTCGACTAGGGGTGGAATTCGATCTTCGTTATTCTTTAGATGAAAGTACCATCACCTTTTCAAATAAGACCGAACCATGGACCATGACCAAACTCTGCTCTCGATTAATCCCACATATTTCACAGGCCCAATTTTAATTCTCACTATAGCTCTATCTTCCGGCATGCTTTGCCTAATAAAGTTCGAAGACGGAAGAGGGCCAGTCAAGTGCTTAATTCCTGTATGTGCTCAATGCCAAGGCCATGCTAGATTTGTCTAAGCACATGCCGACGATGCGCTCTGGTTGTTACCAGGGGCAACTACTAATAGCTCAGGTAATGATGCTGCAAGTTATATTGACATTACGGTTTTATTATGGAAACACGAAACAAGTTTATATGAACGATCATGTCGTGCATGTCTGGATATCGATAGTAAACACAAACTGTAAATTTTGTTACTACTGTTCATTTTTGTATCTATATTTTATATTACATGTAAAATCATTTTTTTCCTGATTCTTTTAAATTCGATTTTTTTTTTTTTTTTTTTTGGGGGGGGGGGGGGCTTGAACTGTGAATACCAGGGTTCAATATGGTTCATTACCCAATCTAAGGGGGAGAGAGAGAGAGAGAAAGTAAGAGAGAGAGAGAGGGAGAGAGTGTGTGTGTGTATGTGTGTTTTTACAGACGTGTATCAATCAGATAATCATTTATGTCTGGGGACCAACCTTTAAACGTGACCATCCGAAAGGCGTGACTCAATTTCGAACCTGTGTCCTCGGCTGAATCAGTCTGGTACTTCCACTTTTAGCTGGATTACAGGCGCACACCACAACGCCTATAGTTAAAGAGAGAAATACATGATGACTGATTGACTGATATAGGAGAGAAGACATTACAATAACTCTATTTCAGTTAGTTTGCTGGTAATCATATCGAGTATTTTTTTTAATTGTACGATAACAAAATAAGTTCAATTCCCTGTAAATCCAAGAAAACAATTGCATACTTTGTTTATCTCGACAATCGAATATCGTAGACGAATAGTGACGTGATATATCGATACTAATATAGCATAACTGTATTCTACTGTATTTTAGGATGACCAATTACGTAAGGAAATACCGATCGGATGACAAGGGACCTTTCCCTATGGGTCATTACTTATATAATTTAAAGATCAAGGCGGTTGGCCATCGAAACAGGAAATTTTGAATCTACGGGTGTGTATTAAAACATCCTAAAGGACGAGGGGAACACGCAGGTCAGAACGGTATTTCAGGAAACAATTGATTAGGTTAAGTTTTGAAGTGAAGTTGACAATAAATTACAATACATCCTCACCGAGAGAAGGGAGGTCAACTGAGTGCGTAGTCACGTTGATGTATAAACAAAGCAAAACATTGCATTTTTTTTTCAGTCAAAGCAAGCCGAAGTCATTTTTTTCTTCAACATAGGATATATGGCATACCTAAAGTAAAAAAGACGACTTTTTAAACAAAAGGTATCAGGAGGGAAAAGGGTATTCCATAGGTGAGAAAGTTAGATACTGAAAATCATGAACAAGTAATTTCACTTGTCCAATGAAAACAAAATGGGCGTGGTTTTGTTTACCCCCTAAGCCAAGGTGAGAGTTATCAAACCAAGTTTCCTCCAATTATACCCCATTTTCTAGAGCCCCCTTGGATAACAATGCCCAAATGACTCACATAGCAGCTCTTTAACCTAATTTCTGTGGAGTCCGGTGTTCTAGAAGACAGTAGTGTAAGTGCGTATACCCTACCATCAACTGCGAACCAAGAACTGTGGTCATTATACATGTAGAATGAGTCTTTCACAATTAACGCATACATTTAATGATACAGTAAACTACCTTTCGAGGAAGTAATACACAAAAGCCTTCGTACAGACATTTAAAAAAAAAATAGTGGTTCGAAAGCTGAATGTATTAGTTTACATGCTCTTGTTTCACTTCCAAACTATGAATTCTAAGAATGGGAAACATTTCTACGCAAAGGGAAAAAATCAAGGTACCATACTTGTAACAATACCTATCAAGTAAGATATACCCCGGATGTATTTTTTGGTTCTTCATTTCAACTCTCATTTTTCTTTCGACACTGCCTCCTTGAATCAAATCCCTTGTCAACACCATTAAACGTTCTATATTGATGTATGATTTACTGTATGGATTAAGAAAGAAAACTAGGTCTGAGTATCATAAAGCTTTGAAATTGATGCTGAACAAATCTATGTCAGTTAGATGTGATAAAATGGCAAATGCATTAAAAGAGAAGAATAGCAGAAATTTTTGGAAAGAGGTGAAGAAACATTCAAAAAAGCCTAAGGGTTACCCAAACAGAGTGGATGGTGTTCAGGGGGAAGAAAATATAGCAGAGTTGTTTGCATTGAAATTTGGAAGGATATATCAAAGTATTGGATATGATGAAGGAAATATGGAAACGTTATTGAATCACATAAACTCCACTACACAGGAGAAATGTGAATGTAATGAGTGTTTACAGAATGACCATGTTATAGGAGGAGATGAAGTATCTAGAGCAATACTTAGGTTAAATCATTCCAAAAGTGATGGTGTAACAGGTGTGATGTCTGATCATATTATACATGGAAAGAAAATAATCAGTGGATATTTAGCAATGCTTTTTACTGCCATGTTATGGCATGGAGTGTCGCCAGATGGTATGCTCAAAAGTACAATGGTACCAATACCTAAAGGTCGTTGGAAAAATTGGGCGATTCAGGAAACTTTCGTGCAATAACACTTGGTAGTATCATTGGTAAAGTTTTGGATTATGTATTTATGAAAAGGGAAGAAGGGAACTTGCAGACTAATGACCTACAGTTTGGATTCAAAGCAGGGTTATCAACTACACTATGTACTGCTATGGTTAAAGAAACTGTATCGTACTTTAATCATGAAGGGAGTAATGTGTATGGATTATTGCTAGATGCTAGTAAAGCATTTGATAGAGTTAATTATGTGAAATTGTTTGACATTATGCTGAGCAAAGGGGTCTGCCCAATGATATGCAGGCTATTGCTTAATATGTATAAGAATCAAAGGCTAAGGTTGAAATGGAACAATGCATATTCTGATTATTTTACAGTTAAAAATGGTGTTAAACAGGGTGGAGTTATCTCTCCTTGCATGTTCTGTTTGTATCTAGATGGGCTGATAGAAGAGTTATGTGACAATGGGATAGGGTGCTTTATGGGCAATGTTTTTGCAGGAGCATTTGGTTATGCAGATGACTTGACACTGCTGTCACCTAGCGTGACTGCTCTTCAAGAAATGATTAAAACTTGTTTAGATTATGCCATTAAATTTGATATTCTGTTTAA